CAGAGGCTGGTGAAGGTTGGGGATTATGATGCAYCCACTCAATACTGTGCTCCCTGGCCCAGGTGTCTGCAAGGTTATTTCTGAATTGAGTCCTGTTGCCTGACTCTCAATTCTTTCTGGGTGCAGTGCCTCTGCAGGACTTGCTTTTCAAGGCCCAAGACAGTGACCYAGTCAGTGCTGTGAGGCACAGGGTGTATCTCCAGGGCTCACCTCTAGAGGTGCCATAGCATTCTCCTTTCAAATTTTCTGTCACTTTTTCAGGGTTTGTAGTTGTTCAGGGGTGAACTTCCAMATTGCTGAAGCAGAAAAGTCCTTCAAAAGCTGGCCCATGCCCTCCAACATTCCATGCCACTCATGACTATCCACCCTTGGGGGAGATTTCTGAGATGTAGTCAAGTAATTACTGTAGCTTTTGAATTGGCCTGGATTCTTCATAAGTTGCATCCTAAAGGTACTTTCTGGTTGGAAAAMTATGGACTGTAAAAAAAAGAAAATGTGTGGCACTAGTGGCTGCAGTTAACCCTTCAATGTATAAACCTTGTAATGACTACCAAATGTCACATTTTCTTGGCCACAGAGAAATGAGTGTGTGTGCTGTGCTGCAGCTGAGGCAAACCAGGTTATTTGATGCCTTAGTGGATGCAAATAGAGAATTTGCAATCAATTATTTAATGTGGGGAAATTCACAGGAGTGCAGGGCACAGAAGTTATAATTTGTGCAGATGTAATAGACTTTTTTTCTACTACTCTACTTTTACTTTACTGCTTCACTTTTCTACTTTACTTCACTGCAGTTGTACTGTTCTGATTGAAGGAAACTTCTTCAGGAGAGRTTTTTGAAGTCATTGGGTAGCGATGAGTTAAAATGACAGGTGATGGTGCCAACTTAAACTAACTGTTTCTTAGAGCACCTCAATTGTAGGCTTTATTTGCTGTGGCTTTGGTTATAACTTTTCTGTTACGAGTTTTCCAGGAGGAGTCTTTGCCTCAAACTATTCTGTTTTGACTGAAGATGAATAATCTAACAGCTCTATTCATGAATATAAAAAGTAATTACATAATTTACCTGAGCTAGATAAGCAGACTGCATTGTCACATATGTTGTAACGTACCCATCTTTGATGTTTAAATCTCTAAACACCAATGATATAAGTTACAAGTTACGTAATTTCTGGGAGAAGTCAACTGCCAGTCTGCCACACTAAGTTTTGGGAGTTTATAAGTTTTGTGTATGCTAAACATGTAATGGTGTCCTAGTAGCTTAAATCTGTAGGGAATGTTTCCTCACTTTATATTTCTTCAGTTCTCTGAACTCCCAGTGCTGACCAAACTGTATGTAACATGTAGAGTAGCTGAAAATATTCTGCTTCCATTTGTTTTTATGTGTTGGTCCTGTATATCTGGCCCAGGGCACTGTGAGAAGTGAATTTGCTCACAAAACTGACTGGGGAATTAATGTTTTGTGTTCATATCCTTGATTTTTAAATTTTTCTTCTTATTGTTTTGCATGGTATAGGTTGAAATTAGTGTTGTATAGTTGAAGTGGTGAAACACTGTAACARTAGTACATTGTAAAACAATGAAATTAATCAGTCTTCAGACTTTTCCATTGTTAGGACACGGTGTCGTATTTATTAAAGGAGTTACATAAATTAACCTTGAACAGTGAGGAAAAACTAAATATAAAGTGGCTTCTCATTAAGAATGTAGCATCTAYTGTCTGTCTTGAATAGAAAGTGTCTTGGAAAAAATATGTGATCTTGTCTGATAAAGAGGTTTGTAACAGAGCTTAGGTACAAGATCTCAAGATGAACAGACTTGCATATMATCAGCTTTTTTTAATCTAAATTATTTGGTTAATTATTTTACAATTCTCTGCAACACAACAAAGAAAGGACACTTGTTGATTTAAGATCAGGAGGGACTGCTGGAGGTAAACTGGTCTCACCAGCTCACTCACACCAGGTTAAAGCAAGACTGATCAGATAAGTTGTTCAGGCCTTGTCAAGTTCTGGTGAAACTGGAATATCCTTTCCTAAAGTCCAGGGTTATAATTTGTTTGTGTTGTTGAATTCTCTTGAACTTTTGAGCTCTGTAAACTCATGGTTCCTGACGTCAAATAGCAGTATTTAAGTCAAGGGTATTTGCATTGTGTCATTGTGTGGTTGGGGGTTTTTTGTTTTTTGTTTTTTTTTTTTTTTTTTCTTTTTATGTGATTTCAGTGTGGTACTACCTCTTGTAAGACTTCTACTTTTACTTGATGCACCTTTCAGACTGTAATGATTATTTTGTTCATAATTTGGGAAAAAAATGATACTGGCACAATGTTAATACGCATCTCTTTCCAAACACCTCAGTGGATGTCCTGTACATCCTCAAAAAGTTGATGAAGGGACACTGATGTATCCAACAAATTGCTGTACATTCAACTACACACAGATGAAGCAAAAGGCCCATCTCTCATTATGCAGATATTTCTGACCTGGAAAATAAAGAAACTACTGGTCATCATTACAGGTCTGTTTGGGTTAGTACTGCTCTGTTGTTGCATCTGAATTCTATTTGTTTCAAGAACTCACTGCCTTGCCAGAGTATGACTGCAAAATTCATCACAGTAAAGCCCTGCCAAATTTAAGGTAAAGCAGGACAGTTGACATTTCCAGTTGGACGGGAGCTTTAGATGTCTTTGTGAAGCATWATGTGAAGCATTGTGGAGCCATCTTGCAGAAAACTGAAATAAGACCCAACAGAGGCAGTTTTATACCGTGTTATCTCTTAGTGTATCAGCTCCTTACCTTAGGAATCTTTGGTACCTCAATGCCAAAGTACTGAATACTGTCAGGTTAGGCTTAGAGGCAAAATCTGTGCTCCGTGAGGAGAAAATAAGATCTCTTTAAGCATTTAAGTCTCATGAAAGGCCTATGAGGACATGTTTGGTTCTAATTGGCTCTCATTGGAGGACTGACATGGTCTACCTGCAGCCAAATGACTCTTACAGAGGCAAAGTAATCTGACTCCTTAAATAGAGCTCACCTCCAAGCTTGTCTTTGCTGCTGAAGGGCCTGATAACCAGTACAATGAAAAGGAGGAGAACTTTCARTTCAAATGAGAGTAATTTTGGAAAGTGGGTTTTAATTTGTGAAGCCATTKACAATCAGTAAATCTTGTTTTGCTTACCACATTGCTGTGCCTTGTTTTAGTCTGCAGTGCAAATACACACAGAAGTTATAGAACAAACTGATAAACTGAAGGAGTATATTTGTAGTGTAATTTTAGGGGGGCTGTTGTTATACCTGTGCATGGGGTGAGGACACCGATAACTCACTGTCTGGTCATCTCCAATAGTCTGACCATAAGGTTCTGGATAAAGTTGGGGACGTGTTTAAACAAAAGTACAAACAAAACCCCTTTCTACACATCTTGCAATAGTCACGCACGCTCTATCTGGAATTTTAAGCCTCATCAGGAGAGTATAAAATTATGCTTTCTGAAACTGAAATAATATATGTGCAGAGTTCCAGAATGCCAGAATGTACTCTTTTGTTAACTCAGAATTATGAGTGAAATTTCCTATGTTACCCTGATTTCAGACACATTTGTCTGAATTTACTGAGGGCATGTTCTGTTGGATGTGCACAGGCCTGAAAGGGAAGAAGGAAACATGATTCATTTTCACTTTGTCATAGACTCAGCCATTCACAAATCATTTCATTCTTCTGTGGCTGAGTTTTTGATGTCTGTTTTGGTAATGTGTTCCGAGATGTCTAGAGGAGGCCTCCTTAGCAAGGGAGAAATGTGTCAATTATTTCTACTAATGTGYAGTGTTTATTTGGAATTCAGGTTATAAAGAGCTTTAGCAAAGCTGCAGCTTTGTAGGCAAGTGTAGAAATTACCCATATATGATCCCATCTGTTTCTGTATCTAACTGCAATTACTCTGTACAGGGTTGTGTGATACATGTTGCTGATTGGTGTAGTGCAAAAAAAAAAAAAAATCATCAGTTGTAGTTTCACTCAGATTAGAAAAGGTACCCAGTAATTGCATGTACTTTCTACATATATTTTATCCTTGTTGCAGTGACAGAAGCTGGTTATTTTTGCTTCCTATTCTGTACCCATTGTAATAGTGCTCAGAAAAATGAGGTGCAGTAGTGGCTGAAGCATGGAGAAGTGTTGTTCCTGGTCTGCTTGTAGATTTGGACAAGACAGGAATTTTAGCTATATTTTCCAAGAAGTTCAGGGGCTGATTTTATAACTGCTGAGTTATGAAATCCTGCTCCTAACTCGGAGTGTTGGGTACAAGTCAGTGTGAACTCCAAACGCTTTCGCTTCTCAGCTTCCTCATCTGCGACAATAATTCCTCACTTGTATATCTGTCTTCCTCAGCTCAGATGGCCCTCATGAATGTGGGAGGACAGTGTTCAGCATGGGAGAGGTTTGGTGTTGTCCTTAAAAACAAGGGCAGGGAACAAATTCCCAGTCTCAGTGGTGACGAGACAAACGGTGCTGGAAATGTGTGGACTAGATCTCCAAAAATCTTTGAAGTGTTGAGAAAAGTATAGTCTCCTATTATGTGTGAATAGTCTTTAGCTGAAGGCAAGTCCAGCCTCAAGAAGTAGCAAATATTTCCTTTGAATCCTCTTATAAACTTGAATCCTATGCTTTTGAAATTGGAGTGGCTTGTGGTTTTTTTCCCCCTGAGCAGCAGTGTGCTCTCCAGCATTGTCTGGGGTATTAGCACTAATGAAATAATTCATTCTTGATAAGCTGTCTGGATAATTCTTGATAAACTCTTCACCGACCTTTGTCTTAAATGCTGCTTGTTGTTATTTAGGAATTAATAATGTACTTCAYCAAGCCTGGCCAGCAGGACTGATTTCACCCCTGTAACTAATGAAAGCATGTGCTTGCTTAAGTTGGTCCTCTTGGAAGTAATAGCAATATGACTAGAGTTGGCAAATAAGTTGCTAATRCGTTTCTGTTTGGCTTTGTGTCTTGCAGCTGGTGCCACATATATTTTTGGGAAGAGTGGAGGTCTCATCCTGTACACCTGGCCAGCTAAYGACAGACCAAGCACAAGGACAGACCGTCTTGCTGTGGGCTTCAGCACAACAGTGAAGGATGGCATTCTTGTCCGGATTGATAGTGCCCCTGGGCTTGGTGATTTTCTGCAGCTGCACATAGTGAGTACAGACAGGCCCATGTCTCTCCCAGACCTGGGTTTCTCTTAACATTTGAAGAAAACTGTTGCTCTAAAATACCATGTGTCATATTCTTTACTTTCTCTGTCTTCAGCACTCATCAGATTAAACTACCTATAGTAGTTCTTTAGGGTTTTGTAGAGTTGCAGAATGGGATGCACAGGGAGTTAAGTCTTGATGCTGAAAGAAATTTGGGAGGAAGTTAAACAAAACAAAACTCAGAAGCCTTGTGTGATTCAACAGTAGGATTTATTCARAAAGTGAAGAAACATTTTGCATCAGTGGTAATCTGCGGAAGCATATGCACAGTCCTGAGTACAGCTGAATTTATGGTGAGGTATTACTATTCTTGGAAGGCAAAGAATAAAAGSGAGTGATAGGGTGTTGGCTTTTTCCTCACGGAGAGAGTTAAGTGAGAACTGAACAGATCCTCTAGATGATGTAGCTGATGCTTGCTTTAGCAGGATAGTTCAAAAGAATAAGGATTTGATGTTAGCACAACATGGCTTTGCAAGAAAAAATAGACTTTTTTGTGAAAGCTTGAGTGAAGGTGGCTTTAGGAGAGTTGAACTGAGAAAATGAGAACACTAGAACYGGAAACTCTTGGAGTTTGTTACTTTATGTGATTTGGGAGGAGACGAGGTTGTTTGCTTTCTTTTCCTTTGGCAAATAGCCACGAGGTTTACTAGAGGTAGAGGCTGGTGATGGTACTTGATGTTCAGATTATTTGTAATGCATTGTGCATTAATTCATAGTGGAAGGGAAATTRGGCCACTTGCAAATTTTGAATGGTCTGGGGAGTTGCTGACATTTCATGGAATCTTTAAGGTACAAGTAAACAGGAGGAAGCCAGGGGCCAAAACAGATCTGATGTGAATGACAAAGGGCCGTAACCTGCTGCAGGTGTTTGCCATGTTCAGAATCAGGTCAGAGCACTGGGTATATTACAGGGTGGTTCTGAAAAAGCCAGAAATGACATTCTACTACTCATTGCCAGCATTTTGAGTGGATCTTTGGGTTTTTGTGTTGAATCCTGTTGTAAAATTTGGATTAATTGGAATGGGATAGATATGGCTTGAGCTATTAGACTGTCACCAATTCTGTTTTTTCTCTTTTGTGATATAACCAAATATTTAGTTTGTGTTTTTCACTGGAATGAAAATGAGATCAAATCCTGGCATTTTTAAAATATAAACCCAGTATTTCTTCTTTTCTTAAAAACAAAACAAAAAGACCCCCAGAAAACTGAAAGTGAGCAGTGCTAAGCCTAATTGTTTGGAACTTTGTGACTCAAATTAAGCAAAAGACTGGTTATGTCTGGGCAAGGCAATGTGTATTCTTTAGATGTTATAACATAACATGTAAAATGCTATCCATTAACTGGAAAACAGTAATTTGGCATGTGAGGAGAGGCATAGAGATATGAATTTGTTAAAGTTGTAGCAAAAGTCTAAGATGGGATCATGTTGCTCTGGATGCCTAATGAGATGTTATACAGAAAATAGAAGTAAGGCTCTTCTTTGTGGTAGTCAGCAGAAGGAAGAGGGAACCTGGACACAATACCAAAAAAAAAAAAAATTTTTAGTTCTGCATTAAGGTAAGAACTTGAACAAGGAATTTTTCAGCATTAATGATGAAGGCACGTGATTTTTCTTATATCTTAGTCCGAAACATATACCTTTATCTACCCTTAGTTGTACATTTTCAGATTTTTTTTTAATTGTAACAAATTTTGCTGCATTGACTGAAACAAAAAAAAAACAAACAAACAAAAAAAAAACCACCTGAGATGTAAGCATCCATTAAAAAAAAAAAACAAACAACCCATAATGACTAAAGAAAACCATTGCTTTCTCTTTCGTCAGTTTTGGAAAAGAAAATAATAAAAGCTTTTTGTCTTGTTACCCATATGGTTTTTTTTTCAAACTATTCTGTACAGCATGGTGCTAGTTTCAGATTATTTCAGATATCTAAATAAAACCTACTAATTTGGGTTGATATTATTGTTAAAAGTTCTGTTGAGTGCTTCCTGTGTAGATTGGCCAATTTTGTCCCTGAAGGTGTTCACTAGCAGTAAATATAGAACTAGTTCAGCTTTAATTTCTCTTGTTCTTTTGTGGTCAGGATGGATTAAGAGGATTTGCCAGTCATTCATGAGGAGCAAAGGCATGCTGCTGTGCTCTTCTGGGTATGGTATTACTGTTCATCATGTATATCACTGACTCTACCTGACTGTTCAAATAAATAATGTGGTCTGGGACTCATGCTGTTACATGCAATAGAAAAGTTGAAGAGGAACTTTTAAAGTGTTATCGACTTCTTGAATGTCTSTAAGACTTTGTAATCTCTGTTTTATGGTTCAAAGTAATAGAAGTGAGCTTACATCAGGATTATTTTGGAAAAAATTGAAATCTGAAGTCAAAGGTACATCTTGAAATGACACTTAAAATGCGAGACCTTTTAGAGTCTCATCAAATTGCAAACTTTCCAGGAGACCAAGATCTTCTGTAACTAAAAACCACCACATACTTGTGCTGTCATAATCATATGACACATGTCCATCTTTTCTTCAAAACCTTCCATTAGGCCATTTTCAATTGTCAAGAGAAATAAAGTGGCATGAGTCAAATTGTAATTGAAATGTGAGATAAATAGATTTTTAAATCAGAGCTATGAAAACAGATTAAATTGATAATAAAATAAACTTTTAAAACCCAAATACTTAAACCATARAGCAAATTATAGGAGAAAGAGAAAACATTAATTTTAATGTAACTTATTTTATATATATTTAGCAACTTGACTTTTTCAGATGCAATTACATTTAATAATTACAGTAATAAGAAAAGTGACAGACATTTTCCTGGGTTGATATTGGGGATACTTCTTTTCCTGAAGCCTTTTTAGATATTCCATTCACAGATGACTTTGGATGCTATTTCCTGGATTCTGACCTCCTCACACTTCCCTGGGTGTTCTTTGGTGATAACAGGTGACAAAAGCCACCTGATGATCACTGTTTTCTGATGTGCATCACTTAAGTAAAATCTAATCCAGAAGTAATAGTATTGGCCATGGTTTATCAAGGTTGGATTCTGTTTTAAAGATTGTAAAAGTTGCTTATACYCTTCTAAAGAGACTTTTTAATATTCTGCCTGCTTTTTAAATATCATATATGTTCTGGAGTGTCTATTGTAATCACTTTCCATTTGTAAGATTTGAAGTGAAAGAAGATACTTTATTTTGAAGTTACATATTTTCCTATTTAATTTACAGTTTTTCTGTTAGAATTCATTTTCTAATTATGAGTCTTTCGGATATTGTGGAAATTTATTGACTAAGGTGTCTGTTTCATATGGCAAAAAAATACAGCTGCTGAAACTATTTTCTGTCTCGACTTAAAATGAAGTATGAAGTAGCAGCCCTGCAAAAATGGATAGCATATCATCCAGATCGATGTTGCATTTGAAGCATGAGGTGTTTGTGTAAACAGACTGTAGCACATGGAATGAGAGTTTTGCTGGAGTGTCAGATCCCTCCCTATGATTTTTTTKTTTGTTTGTTTTCCAAAACCCAAGACCTTTATCTTGGAATATTGTCTTCCACAATGGATACTTAACTCAGGTTGCATTCTATTTAAGATAATTGTGACTGGCAAGCTAGTCCTCCTTTAAGATGTGACATATATGTACTGCAGTACCTTACMAAGTGTCCCACCTTCCCTTTCTGCAGTGGAGTAGGTTTCTGCTAAGCTGTGTAGGACAGATAGAGTGCTGGCACCACAAGGGTTGGGGTGGCAGGGCTGTTCCCTAGCAGCAGTGGATAASTCAGGAGACTATTCCAAGCACTGAGCTATTGCATGACAAACAGGTTCTGAGTGTCTTACAGAGCTCATCACAAGTAATTATTTGTGTTATTAAATGCAAATTGCAAGTCACATCTTCTTTTTTCCTYAGAATGATAGTCATCTTCAGCCAAGGCTGTCACCTTAATGGCACACCATTTCTTTATGTTGATCACAAGAATTGGAGATGGCAAAATTACCCTAAAAGCTAATTTGTAAGATAAGAGACAAACCTTTATAAATTCAGAAGTCTGTGAATGCGCCAGCATCGGGATTTGGAAGGAAGCCCAGCTGGGACAGCTGACCCAAACAGACCATAGTGACATTCCATACTATAAGATAATGTGTGGCAAAARATGCAGGGAAAGGAAGGGTAAGAGGGGATGCTAATGGTTTATGGCCTATGTCTTTCCAAGGAAATTATGTATGTTGAAGCCCTGCTTACAAGTGGCTCAATATCTGCCTGCAAATGGGAAGTAGTATGGCTTGGCTTAACTTACTAAACTGTCTTTATCTCCATCCCCAAGTTCTCTTACTTTTGCTCTTCAATTTTCTCTCCATCCTCGCTGGGGAGGAGGAAGTGAATGGGCAGCTTGGGGGGTGCTTAGTTACTAGGYGGGGTCAACCCGTCATGCACAGTCTTGACCTGAAAGATGGCCTCTGTTCCTCACCGTGTGCTTTGAAAATAATGAATTTAATACAGGCTACTATATGCAGATCATCTTCCCAAAAAATGAACTATAATATAGCTGCTTTCCCTTCATCTATGTTTATAGAATTAAAAATCTCCTGTAGCAAATATATATGATTTCAGGGCTGTTATTTTGCCTGAGAGAGGCTATATCTGAGTGAGTCTCAAATCTGAGATATGCACGTCACTGGCTGTTTCGCCAGCTGGTAAAACTGCCAAAGAGCCTGACTTTTTTTTTTTTTTTTTTTTTTTTTTTTTAATGGAAGCTTTCTATTTAAATATGCAGTGATCTTGTCCCAAAATGCTCTCAGTCTTTTCCTGTCCTTTCCTAAACTCTTTCAGTCTCTGAAGTCCCATGTGTTTGTGCATGCTACATTTATTGTTCCCTAGAGCACACAAGAATTAGTAAAGGAAAACTAATTTGAAGACAGGAAATGGACTTTCRGT